GGGGGATATTCAAATTTTTGTGTATGTGCATTACTTACCCAAAGATAGCAGAAATCAACAAAATAGGCAACGAATTTAAAAGATCAAATTGGAAAATACCTAATTTGCGGATAACTTTCCAAATTTGAAACGATAGGGATTGGATTGGAATTGCGATGGCAGATCACAGTTCGACCGGTGGTGCTTGGCTAGCAGGATGGTGGGCTCAGTCGCACAGGGATGGTATAGTTGCTCGTCTGAACTTGCTGGGGTTGGGGGGGTATTCAACGAGCTTGGTCGATGTTGAGTAGAGGTGGTAAATGGGTCAAGAACCCATATATTAACCCATATCTAATGATTGTGGGTTATAAGTGGGTTGGGTTTAGTTTTAAAAATAGACTTAAATGAGTTATTAATGGGTTGCTTATTAACTTAATGGGTCTTAAATGGGTATTAAATGGGTCAAAAATGGGTTACCCAATAAGTTTAAGTGAAATTTTCAATTTTTTATAATTTTCTGATTTTTATAATTTTTATATTCTTTTTGTTTTCTTTTTTTCTTTTCCTTTTTCCTTTTCTTTTTCTCTTTTTCTTTTCCTTTTCTTTTTTTCCTTTTTCTTCTTCCCCCGCTGGTGGCCGGCCGTCGGCCATAGGAGAGGGACGAGCTCGCCGGAGGGGTAAGAAGAAAAAAGAAAAAAAAAGAAAAGGAAAAAAGAACAGAAAAAAAAGAAAAGAAAAAGAAAAATAATTAAAATATGATTTTTTAAATAAAAATAAAAAATATTAAAATATTAAAATGAATGCATAGAGGAAAATATGATTTTTCATACCAAACGATGGAAAATATTTTCTAGTTCATTTCCATGTTTTAGCCAAATATTGAAAAATATTGTCATTTTCCTGAAAATATTTTCCAGAAATGTTATATTTTCCGCTAAATAAATGGAGCCTCAATTTTTTAAAAAAGATCTGTATTGCATGAAGATGTTTTAGCAACACAATTTTTTAAAAATAATTATCAGAAATAAGCTTTCCTAGATTTAGTTAAATGGGTCGAGCATGGGTTGGGTATGAGTCAAGATTTTAGCCTTGCGATAAATGGGTCATACACAGGTTAGATGGGTCAAGTTGGGTCGGACCATTTATGATATGACCCAGACCTAACCCGACCCGCTCGTTTAATAGGTCTAGTGTTGAGTTAGCTGACTTCACGGCACATTGGGCTTGTAGGGGTAGCAGCAAGGCATTGCAACAAAACATCAGCAGCTTTCTAGGTCACGGACAGGAGGCGCGGCAGCTTCTCGCGGTGGGCTCGTCGAGGCATCAGCAAGGCATTGCGACGTTGGGGAAGCAGAATAGCAGCATCGTGAAGGGGCTCGGCTTTAACAGGATGTGCGCGGCTCGATGGCTCAAATCAGGACAGCAGGTCATCTCGCTGGGTAGTGGGGCTCGGACTGGACAGCAGCTCGGCACGTCGGGACTCGACGGAACTCGCAGGGGGAGCGCTCTTTGGTGACTCAGGAAAGCAGAGCATGTCAGGGACCTCGTCATCGCGGTGGTTTGCGGCTTGGACAACAGCAGCTCGCCTAGTCAGCAACCGTTGGGGCAACCGGGCAAGCACAATTCATCGAGGTAGCAGACATGACGGGTAGGCAAGGCAGTAGCAACATGAGGGTGTCATAGGCGCGGCCAAGGGGATGGGGGGAGGGATATTGTGGCCCTCAAGGTTGGCCGTGATCTCTCCCTCTCTCTTTTCTCTCTTCCTCAAGTGTATCGCTTGTGTATTCTCTGAATAATATGATCGCTCCCCCCGCAGGAATGAGATACAACTATGTTTATAGGGTAAGAACAACATTGGTGCCAAAACTCGTGTACGAAGGCCACTTTGGTGCCAAAATTTCCATTTGGATCACTTTAGTGCCAAATCGGAGGAAAAATGATCATTTTGGTGCCAACGGCGAGAGATTCCGGCCAAAAAAATAGGTGGCATTTATATTAAAGAAAAATAAGTTGACGTGGCAAATATTTTAAATCGCAGTCCACGTGGAATGGCATAAACAACGTCGCTTTATTTTCCTACGTGGAATGCGTTTAAAAAACGACGTCGCTGAAGAAGGGGGACTAAAATTAGGGCTCAGATCTTGAGTTCTCCCTCGCTCGACGTAGCTCCCTCGATCGCCTTCCGTTGCTCGCTCACCGTCGCTCACCCGCCGTCGCTCGACCGTCATCCACTGCCGTCGGTTTGCCGTCGTCATAGCTACGCCATTGTTTGCTGGCCCACCGTCGCTCAGCCGCTTCACTCAGGTTTGTCATGTTCTCGTCGTGGGTCAATTGGGTGGAGAATTTAGGGTTCCGACAGGCAAATTGGAGCACGGAGGCAAAAATGAGGGCTCGGCTTGGACTGCTTTTATGGGGAGGGAAAAATGGTGGGGACCTCACTTTTGTTTAATCACTTTTGTGGAGAGGGCAAAATTGTGGGGACCGAATGTGACTGAATTGAAAAATAGGGCGTGGAGGGGAAAATGAGGGCTCGGCGCAGAGGGAAACTGGTTGGAGTGCTGGGGACAGTGGTGGGACCCGACTTTATTTAGTTAGTTAGTGTTTCTGTAGGGATCGAATTGAAAAATGGGTGTTGGGGACATTACGTTGTTTAATCAATTGAATAAATTGACTTCCTTTTTTTCTTTCGATAATTGTTTAATCAATTAAATGTAAAGTTGTTGATGATTCTGCTATGTGGTCCCAATGAATGACTTTTTATTTTTATTCTTTGGGTGCAGCATTGAAATGGAGGGGAATCATGTAGGCGTCATTGTTTGCTATGGTGGAGGGTTTGTTATTGGCCTTGACGACTGGGAATATTGTGGTGGGAACGAAGGTACTATTTACGTCAATGTTGGGAAGCCATCATATATTGATTTTGTGAGGGATTTGTTGTATTTTTTTCGATGCAAAGTGCAACAATTGCACTATTGTGTTCCTGGGAAGGAATTGAAGGATGGTTTGAGATTTTTTAGTGACGATAATGGTATTAAGGATATCATTTACCATTATCTTCACGGCGATGAAGCTAAGGTCTATGTTGAATATTATAGTGATGATGAGGCTGAAAAGGATGATGGAAATGATAGTAATCAGGTTGGGGATGAGTCTACGTTAGATGGAGGGCAACATGAGAGTCAAGTGAGGGAGGAGAGGGAGACAGATTTTGATAGAAATGTGGGTGAAGTCTCAGTTGAAGCTGTCGCTGATGAAGACTTAGTTGGATTAGAATGGGAAGTTGCTCAATATAGTGTGTCAGAAGATGAAGCTTTGCCAATTGTCAATTTCCTAAGTGATGAAGACGATGATGAACTGCAACAATCAAGACAAAAACAAAGGGAATTTTTCAGAAAAAACTCCCAGCTTTAGGAGAAAGACTTGAGCTAGATGGAGTTCCAACTGGAGGTAATGGAAGTGAAGATACAGCAAGTTGCGGCAATGAAACTGCTGGTTCGGAGAATGATAATGAAGAACCTGTTCGTCGAAGGAAAAGTAAGTACCCTTGCTATGATCCAAATGTCGATAAACCTGTTTTGTGTGTCGGCATGAAATTTGATAATGCAAAACAATTAGAAGAAGCTATTGTGGAGAGTTCTATTGTTGAACAGACGAGCGTAGAATTTGTTAGAAATACGAAGGAATTTGTGAGAGCTAAGTGCTCACACCCCAATTGTCGTTGGAAGCTGTACGGCGCTATGAGTAGGAAGGGGTCATTTCAGATTAGGTCCTTCCAGGAGGAATATACTTGTTCAATTCATTTTGATAACGAAAGGGTAACAAGTGTGTGGTTGGCGAAATATTTTTTTAATACAATTAAAGCAATGCCCGAGATCAAATGCCCTCAGTTGAAGCAGTTAGTGAAGGAGGAGGTAGGAGTTAATGTGTCGAGGAATCAGTGCAAGAGAGCTAAGCAGAGGGTGATGCAAATTTTGATGTGTCGGTACAAAGAAGAATATGCGCATGTATGGGATTATGCCCGCGAATGCGTGGTTCAAAACCCATCTAGTAGAGTATATGCTGAGGTTGTAGAGATGTCACTGCCTAATTGTGGGTCTAGGTTTGATAGATTTTATGTTTGTTTTGATGCATGCAAACGAGGCTTTTTGGCTGGTTGTAGAAGAGTTGTAGGATTGGATGGATGTTTTCTTAAGGGTATATGCAAGGGGGAGTTGTTGGCTGCTGTGGGGAGAGATGCCAACAATCAAATGTTTTCGATAGCTTGGGCAGTTGTCAAGATTGAGAACAAGGATACTTGGTCCTGGTTCCTCAAGAATTTAATGGTTGACCTTGACATAAACGATGGGGGAGGAGGGGCATTCATGAGCGACCAACAGAAGGTAATACCATTGTCAATTAATTCCCTTTTAATATTAATTACTTGAGTATTTTCTGACTTGTATTTGTTGATTTGAATTTTTGTAGGGACTTGTTCCTACATTGGCTGAGTTGATGCCATATGCTGAGCATAGAATGTGCGCGAGGCACATATATGCAAATTGGGCAAAGATCTACAAAGGAGATATGCTGCAGAAGCAGTTTTGGCAGATAGCGAAGAGTACCAACATGGCTGACTTCAGATTAGCCAAACAGGGATTGTTGCAGCTGACAAAGGAAGGCTTTGATGCACTATTCTAGACAGAAGCTAAGCACTGGTGTCGGACCTTCTTCAGCGAAGAATTTAAATGTGATATAATTGACAACAACCTTAGTGAAGCTTTCAATGGCAGAATTTTAAAGGCCAGGTGCAAGCCAATCATCAGCATGCTTGATGATATTCGTGTTATGGTCATGACCAGACTGCACATGCAAAGAGATGAGGCTACCAAGTGGAGCAGATAATGCGGTCCTAGAATTGTAAAGAAATTGGATGCGAACGTTGCTGCTAGTAGGTTCTGCCATCCGGTTTGGAATGGAGAAAATGGATACGAGATCGTTCACAATAATGATAAGTATGTGGTCAACCTAGATAGAAGAAAGTGTTCATGCCGAGCTTGGGAACTAAGTGGAATTCCTTGTCCCCATGCTATTTGTGCCATTTTGATGAAGCAAGAAAGGCCAGAGGATTACCTACATGATTGGTACAAAAAAAGCTCATACCTTAATTCGTACCAATTCATGATGCAGCCCATCCGAAGTAGCAAATTTTGGGAGCCAACAAATCATGAAGGCCCTCTACCTTTGCCACTAAAGAAGCAAATAGGAAGGCCAAAGAAAAATCGAAGAATACAGGAGGGAGAGGCATCAAGTCAGAGGATGAGTAAGACCAGGGTGAAGATAAAATGCTCCTATTGCCACAAGGAAGGGCACAATAAGAAAGGTTGTCAGTTGAAAAGGCAACGTGAACAAGAAGTTGTTGCAAGAGCTGATCGTGGGTCAAGAACAACACCTACTGAAGAGGTTGCTCTTGGGCCTACTGAAGGGCCAACAAAAGGCCCTGTTGTAGGCCCAAGTGCAGGGACAAGTACAGGCAGGACAGCAACAACAACAACTGAGTCCACTATCGAACAAACGAGGAAAAAATATCCAGTAAGCTATACATTGTTGTGTTTGTCTTTTATGGGCTGAGTTTAATTTTGTTATGTGTTTCTCAGGTGAGAAGACGACCAACTGCACAAGTTGCACAAGGACAGGGAGCCCCACAGGTTGCTCCCTCACAAGTTGCTCAAAGTGATGCACCACAGCGAACAAGAGGGGTTCTTGGAAAAAGAATAAGGCAATATGGTTATGGGATTTACACAGATGAACGTACTGGAATGACTATTTTCAATGTAAGATTTGTAGGACTCATGTATTTAATTTATGGTATTTCAATTCATTTGATTAACAATATAATTATGTTCTTGTAGCCTGGAAGAAGTTCGGAGGTGCTTATCTCTCAAGGTGGGCCAACTCAAGAGTCAATGGCGCAGCCAAAGAAGAGCACAAAGAAGAAGAAGACAGCGAGTACAGCTTCAAAATAGCCACCAACAAATAAAGTTGCACCAGTTCCATCTCAACCAATAGAACCAGTACTAGTTCCTTCTCAACCGACTGATCATGGGACCAATGTTCCTACAGAGAGGTCCCGACACATGACACGTGCTACAAAAAAAATTGTTGATGCTAAGAAGAATGTGACAAAAATGCCAGTTAATGAACCTACGCGTCTAGTTCGAAAGAGTGCCCAAATTATGAATCAATTCAAAAGTGCAAAAGGAAAAGGAGCCGGGGGTGTTGTGCATATTGACTAATGGGAGGATGCTAGACATGGTATCTTCACTGATGGGGATTGCTGCCATTGTTGTTATGTGTTCGCTTTGACATATTAGGTGGGAGGGGATCGTTGATTGATTGGGGGCTGATGTTTTTTATGGAAATGTTTATTTTTGTAAAGAACCAAGCAATGTCAATGGCAACAATGTTTTTGTTATTTTCTTGTCTTGCACCTTGTTATGAGGCTGATGTTGTTTTTAGAAGTTGTTGGTTGATTATTGTTGTTGGTTGAAGTTGTGGGTGCTGGATGTACGTGCTGGTTGAAGTTGTGGGTGCTGCATCTTCCTGCACTAGCAAATACAAGTACTGGTGTAAGAACAAGATGCACTAGCATAGCACTAGTGCAATTGTGGCTGTTGGTGCATCCTGTTGCACCAACACAGCTCTCGGTGCAACTCTGGGTGCTGGTGTGTCTTCTTCCACCAACACTTGTATGAGGTGGTGCAAGAACAAGATGCATTAGCAACTCAACTGGTGCAACAACATGCACCACGATTGGTGCAAGCCAATGGAAACATAGTTGAAACTGACTTGTTCTTTTTTTTAAACTCCTGCAACACGAGTGATCACTTTTTCATCGCGATTGACACTAAAATGATCACTTTCAGAAAAACTTGGCACTGAAACGATCACTATTTACAACTTATGGCACTGAAATAGTTACTTGTGAATTGTCGCCACCCCTTAATTTCTTCATGGTTTGCAGTAATGGTTGCAGCAAACCATTACATCTGATGCAAAAACCAAGCAAACCAATATATACAATACAGAACCAAGAAAAAAAAATTTGAAGTGCTCACAACCAATGAATTCCAACTCTAACCTTCCATTTCCACCATAGATTGGAACAAAACCTTTTGTTCCATACAATTTGCAGCAAACCAGTAACACACTTTACTAACAAATGACCCAATACAAGTAAATATTCCACATCTTCGATTATGGTAGACAAACAAACTTCTTTTCATTACTCACTTCAATTTTGAATATACTACACAAGAGAACAACAACACAATCAATGCTCGATAAAAGTTTCTTTCAATTTTCAGCCTTGAAACTTCCCTCTTCAAATGGTCGATTAAAGATGTTAAACCCTTCATTTGAGCTTGCATTGAGTCGACATCATCTAACTCGTCCATTAATGTAGGTGGAGGTTGATGTCGTCCTTCAAGTAGATGTAAGATCACTTCTGTGGCTCGACCGGAGAATTTGGCATCAAACCCATTTGAAATATTTGCACTTTGAGCCTTCTCTATACCTGCCGCATCCATGGAATCTTCTCCCGGGATTTAACTGAGTCCAAGATGTTCTTCTCGGACTCGGTAACCCACAAAAACAGTAACACTCACCATCTAATTCGCTTTTTTTAATCGAATGTGAGCCGCTGCTGAAGCTTCCGCCCTCCATCTGCAAGCGCGAGCTGTCGCCCTCTATCTGCAAGCGCGAGCTGATAATTGGGGATTTAAGGTTCTGCTTTTCGCGGGTTAGGTATCCCGAATGTGAGCCGTTGCTGAGCTTCCGCCCTCCATCTTTCAATTTGGGGATTAGGGTTCTTATTTTGGGGAGAAGAAGCTAAATAAAACGGCGCCGTGTAGATATGGTGAATAAAACGGCGTCGTTTTATTCTTTGCACGCTGACTGTACTCTCCGGCGAGCCACGTCGGCTTCAAATACTAATAAAAAATTGCCACGTCAGATTTCCGACCAATCAAATCGGAGTTGGCACTTAAAAGATCGTTTTTCAAATTTTTTGGCACTAAAGTGATCCAAATGGAAGTTTTGGCATCAAAGTGGCCTCCGTACACAAGTTTTGGCACAAATGCTGTTTTTCCCCCTATGTTTATATATTGCATAACCCTAAACGGGCTTAGATTAAGCCCTAATCTGGGCTCTATTAATGTCAAGGCTTTTTCTAATTGATTTTTCAATAAGGTTGAATTAAGCTCGAATTAGGCCAAACGAGGCCCCTTTCTCTTGTGTAATTCGGCCAATATTCCCCTCGTGTTGGCTGAATTTTGCTTGATGTGTGGGCCAGGTCCGCGTGACTGATTTGAGTCTGTTCACCAACGCCGGTCCGATGCATAATGCAATTAAACTATATAATCTTAAACTATATACTATGCAATTTAACTCTAATATTTTTGTTTAGGAGTTGAAAATTAATCCTTAATTTTCTATATGATTAATTATTAAATAATTAGTCAAAATTTTAGGTGACAACAATTCGGACTGATCAAGTAGAGAAATTTTTCGAGATGATGGGTGGGCACAAAGAGCAAGTTAAGCTTCTCTTTACAAGCTTAAAACAGTTACTACTGTATGGTAGGATACGCACCAAAACAACGGGCAACGCAAAGTATGTGTAATCAAATGGAGATTTCTTCTCATACGCAGTATTTATTTCATTAACTTAAAAGGTATGTGTGAGCGCATAGGAAAGACGGTAATCCTTCTTTGAGTTCGTCATATTTTCCTCCATCCCTAATTGGAAGAAATTCCTTATAAATTGTGGACATCACTCACATTTATGTTTAGTTAAATTTGCATATCAATCATGTCCATACTTTGTAACTCGCCAGATCAATGTTAAATGACACCAAAGATGGGCATAGTGATACAACATCCGTTTATTCTCGGTTTGCAACAGTTACAATTCAAAACGTTTAAATGATGATGACATACTCAATTTGTATACTCCTAATTGTCATCGAGTATATCTATTGATAACTTTAGTTGAATTGTATCCTTCTTAGGAGCAGCCTTTCGAACCAAAACCTAGCTTTCCTCCGGCAACATCATACACAACTTCAAACGTTTTCTGCTGCACATTACCGTAAACGCCCAGATCACTATCATCACCATTCGCTGCAAACGCGAGGCAAACTTGAGAGGCCTTTGCGACGTATAATATCCCGTTGGGGCCCAAATTGACGTTGACTCCCCCGGCAAAAGAGAATGTTATTGTTGGGACCGTGACCGTGCTCTCGTTGCTGAAGTCGTAGCAAGTATCGAGAATAGAAAGTGCTGGCGCCATCGTGTAATTCGCCATCGCTTTCCTGAATGCGCTTCTCAAGGCACAATAAGCTGTCGGAGGCAATCGGGTAATGACAGTTCCCGAGTCGATGATGGCGCCTCCGCTTGAAAAAACTGTCGATGGTATTGATAGACGATTCCCTCCGACACTGATTCCTACGATACTTATTCCATAGTATTGCGAGCTTTGCGGGACCGTTGATAACGGCGTGAAGCTGACCGAGCTTGATGCTTTGCCGTCTTTGCCGAAAGTCAAGTGTCCGGTGGAACTAGTGGAAGAGGGCAAGCAGTAAGAGAAATACTTGCCATATTTGGCCTCGGTTTGTTCCACGATGGAGATCTTGTCATCCGAGAGTCCAATCAACCCTGCGGCTCTGCCAAAGAGGCCTTGGTTGTCCTCGCCACAGCCGAATTCGAAATTGTGGATCACCTCCGTTGGTGATATTGTCAACTTCTCGGTTGCAAAGAAGCCGACTGAAGATGATTGGTCGCCGTACTGGATGCCATAGAGACAGGTCGATCCGGAGCATCCTGAAGTAACTACAGATCCAAGAGCAAAACACATTACTTGCATTAGTTCTAGTTATTCTTGTGATGATTTCTAACTTAAAGAAACCGAGATTCCTCATCTATGCTTGAAGAACATTCTAGTAAGACATCATAAATGTTAAGTATCTCAAATGTGGTTGACTATTACCGATGGAACCAAGTTGTGAGCATGATGTCGAGGAGCACGAGATATTAGCATAGGATGACGATTGAGACGGGTCAAAGATCGGGTTGGACTGATTGTAGCAATATTTCACGCACGGCTGGCACTGGGTCCACGTGAGAGGACTGCCGGTGTCGAAAATGAGAGTGAGGTTCTTTTTTGGCGTGCCGAGGCCGATTGTAACTATGTAATTGCCGGTGCCCAAGGTGATGCCAGACTTTGCCGGAAGACTGGTCGCTGTCGAAGCTTTTAGGCCGTCGCTGCCGTTGGAGGATCGGGACTGAATCCACTTGACCCTTGACTCATCTTGAAGCAGGGTTTTAGTGTGATTTAAAGGATTGTGGCCTTGAACAAGCTGAGAGCATGGGCCGTGCTTGTGATATACTTCCAAGGTCGACTTTCGTTTGCTAGCTAAAAGCATGTCATGTGAGAGCAAGAGATTATGTGAGCAAGCTAATAATGTATTGGCAAAAAAAAAGATTGTTCTATTTTTCCAGTCAACAAAGACTTGGGTTTAGCGTGGTCAACTCTTAAAATCATGGTTTGACCGTGGAATAAAAAGTTAAGACCTCCATTCTCACTCCTCCCATTCCTTTTTTTTTTTTAAATTATTTTCTCATTTTCTAACCATAGTATTTCCATTGGATCAAAAGACTTAGCTTTTTGAATGGGACAAATCAATATGGTCAACATCATTTGTACGACCAAGTCCCCCCACTAAATGCAACTTGAACTATTCGGCGCGTGCTACTATGATAGAGATGGATAGTCCCCCCATTCGGCGCGTGCTACTATGATAGAGATGGATAGTCCCCCCACTAAATGCAACTTGAACTATTCGGCGCCTGCTACTATGATAGAGATGGATCGCCTGCCTATATGCCTTCTTCTCTAATCACCCTCTTTCCTCCTCATTTCCTCATTAATGTAATTATAATTATATGGAAAACATGAAGAAGAATCCATGGTAACTCACAGGAGAGAGGCAAGAGTTCCTATGACTAAGCGAAGAGCAGTATACTTTCTCTCCGAACTACGATTCGGGTTCAGGTTCGGTCATTCACGGCGCCGAATTCGATCAATCTCGTTCATGTTCGAGTTTGTTCATGATCCGAGAAAATCACTTTTCCACTGGACATAAGTACGCTACATATCCATATGTAAACCGATTTATCAAACGATAGAGAATACCGTGGTAATAGACTACTACACATGGCGATTTTCCATTTTACATGTTGAGAGAGAGAGAGAGAGCTTTGGTAGTGGAAGGTGAGCAAGAAGGAGAAGGCAATAGAGAGCTAACTGATACAGTGTGGCTTGCAATCTTCCCTTCTACTCCATAGGTATAACCTTGGTGCATGCAACTTGAACTATTCGGCGCCTGCTACTATGATAGAGATGGATCGCCTGCCTATATGCCTTCTTCTCTAATCACCCTCTTTCCTCCTCATTTCCTCATTAATGTAATTATAATTATATGGAAAACATGAAGAAGAATCCATGGTAACTCACAGGTGAGAGGCAAGAGTTCCTATGACTAAGCGAAGAGCAGTATACTTTCTCTCCGAACTACGATTCGGGTTCGGGTTCGGTCATTCACGGCGCCGAATTCGATCAATCTCGTTCATGTTCGAGTTCGTTCATGATCTGAGAAAATCACTTTTCCACTGGACATAAGTACGCTACATATCC